GTAACCAAATCAAAATGCTGTATATCTTATAGATGGCTGTCTAATTTACTCTTGAGTTTTCCAGATAGCTCACCGCCTTCTGAGGTACAGTGGTGCCTCGCATTACGATGTTAATTCGTTCCAGCGAAATCGCTGTAGAACGAAAACATTGTAACGCAATTTTTAAAAGCCCATAGAAACGCATTAAAACCCGATTAATGCATTCCTATGGGCTTGAAACTCACCGTCCAGCGAAGATCCTCCATAGCGCAGCCATTTTCGCTGCCCGTGCAGCGAGGAATCCATCCCAGAAAACAGCGGGCGGCCAATTTTTTTTACCCGGTGGCCATTTTGAAACCGCCAATCAGCTGTGCAAAAATCATCGTTTTGCGATAATCAGTTAGTGATGCAGGGAATTGATCATTGCAAAGTGAAAAAACCCTATAGGAAACATCGTTTTGCGATTGCTTTTGTGATCGCAAAAACTTCTTCGTTATGCAATTTCTTTGTTAAACGAAGCACACATCTTGCGAGGCACCACTGTAATTGGTTCCTATGCTGTACTGCTCTATCAGTTGGGAAATTATTCCTGGTATTCAACTGAAATCTGAATTCCTGTAATTTGAGTCAGTTATTACATTTCTTCCGCTCTGGGATGATTGAGAACTGATGTATGACAATCTTTCAAGAATTTTAAGAATGCTATCATAAGTTTTCTTTTCTCAAGGCTAAACCTGCCCAGTTCTTTCAGTCGTTCCTCATAGGGCTTGGTTTCCAGTCCCCTGATCATCCTTGGTACCCTCTTCTAAACTTGTTCCAGTTTGTCAGCATTCTTCTTAAAGTGCAGTGTTCAGAACTGGGAGTACAGAGTTTGATTGTACTTCCCACTGCTGGCTCAGCTGCATTGACTCCCCATATCTTCCCAGGCCAGATTCAAGGTGTTGGTAATAACATATAAAGCTCTTAATGGTTTGAGACCCTATTATCTCTTGGAGCATCTTCCCCAAAGATTATATACATGTGATACATGTGCTATCCTATCCACCCAGGCCAGTCTTTTAAGGGTGGCTACTTCGAGGAAGGTAGAGAAGGTGTCCACAAGGAACCAAGTCTGTGGTCCCATATTGATGAAGCAACCTGCCCATAGAGATCCATCAGGCCTCTATCCTTCCAGTTATCAAGAAATTGCTTAAGATCAGTCTCTTTAAGGAAGTTTTTGAATAAATTCTCCCCCTGCTATAATTTGGAGCATGGCTTTTATGTCATCCATTGTTTCGGGATGGGGATTAGTTGATTTGGGGTTGTTGGGGTGGATTGGGCAAGGAGGGGTTGTGGGGAAAGAGTATGAGTAGAGAGGGTTATATGTGATTGTTAACCACCTTGAGTCGTACTCTACACTAAATCCCGTAGGCATCCTTCAGTCTCGAGAGACTATGGGAATATGCTCTGAATAGATATCTTGGAACAGCGTCTAGTGTGGCTGAGAAGGCCAATTTGAGAGTGACAATCCCTTCCACACTGAAGACAAATACAATCTGTCCCCTGTCCAGCTCCCTGATTTTGCTGGTTTCGGGACTGCCTCTTTGCAGTTTCAGAACTGCCTCTTTGGGAGAGGCCATGCTGCACCGCCTGCCTCCAGGCTCAACGTTCAGATGTCAAAGTTTCTCATCTATCGAGGTCCATTCCTAAGGCCTTCAGATCCTGCTTGCAGATATGGTTTCCCTCTGAGGCGCTTTCCCTGCACTAATTTTCCATATAGGAGATCTTTTGGAATCTGACCATCAGCCATTCTCACGACATGTCCAAGCTAATGTAAACGTCGCTGTTTCAGTAATGTATACATGCTAAAAATTCCAGCTCATTCTAAGACTGCTCTCTTTGGAACTTTGTCCTGTCAGGTGAGACCAAAAATGCATCAGAGACAATGCATATGGAACATGTTCAACTTTCTCTCCTGCCATGCACAAAGGGTCAAGGACTCACTGCAGTACAGAAGTGTACTCACTAAATGAGGCAGTATATAAATAGCTGTAAAAATACATACATACATACATACATACATACATACATACATACATACATACATACATACATACATACATACATACATACATACATACATACATACATACATACATACATACATACATACA